TCCTTGTTTTTTTTTCATTTTTCTTTTATTATTCATATGTGCATACAAGGCTTGGTTTCATTTCTCCCCCCTGCCCCCACCCCTCCCTTACCACCCACCCACCCCTCCCCGCTCCCCCCTCAATACCCAGCAGAAACTATTTTGCCCTTATCTCTAATTTTTTGTTGTAGAGAGAGATAAAGCAATAATAGGAAGGAACAAGGGGTTTTGCTGGTTGAGATAAGGATAGCTATACAGGGCATTGACTCACATTGATTTCCTGTGCGTGGTGTTACCTTCTAGGTTAATTCTTTTTTTCTAACCTTTTCTCTAGTTCCTGGTCCCCTTTTCCTATTGGCCTCAGTTGCTTTAAGGTATCTGCTTTAGTTTCTCTGCATTAAGGGCAACAAATGCTAGCTAGTTTTTTAGGTGTCTTACCTATCCTCACCCCTCCCTTGTGTGCTCTCGCTTTTATCATGTGCTCATAGTCCAATCCCCTTGTTGTGTTTGCCCTTGATCTAATGTCCACATATGAGGGAGAACATACGATTTTTGGTCTTTTGGGCCAGGCTAACCTCACTCAGAATGATGTTCTCCAATTCCATCCATTTACCAGCGAATGATAACATTTCGTTCTTCTTCATGGCTGCATAAAATTCCATTGTGTATAGATACCACATTTTCTTAATCCATTCGTCAGTGCTGGGGCATCTTGGCTGTTTCCATAACTTGGCTATTGTGAATAGTGCCGCAATAAACATGGTGTGCAGGTGCCTCTGGAGTAACAGTCTTTTGGGTATATCCCCAAGAGTGGTATTGCTGGATCAAATGGTAGATCGATGTCCAGCTTTTTAAGTAGCCTCCAAATTTTTTCCAGAGTGGTTGTACTAGTCTACATTCCCACCAACAGTGTAAGAGGGTTCCTTTTTCCCCGCATCCTCGCCAACACCTGTTGTTGGTGGTGTGCTGATGATGGCTATTCTAACAGGGTGAGGTGGAGGTGGAACATCAGGGTGGTTTTAATTTGCATTTCCTTTATTGCTAGAGATGGTGAGCATTTTTTCATGTGTTTTCTGGCCATTTGAATTTCTTCTTTTGAGAAAGTTCTGTTTAGTTCACTTGCCCATTTCTTTATTGGTTCATTAGTTTTGGGAGAATTTAGTTTTTTAAGTTCCCTGTATATTCTGGTTATCAGTCCTTTGTCTGATGTATTGGCAAATATTTTCTCCCACTCTGTGGGTGTTCTCTTCAGTTTAGAGACCATTTCTTTTGATGAACAGAAGCTTTTTAGTTTTATGAGGTCCCATTTATCTATGCTATCTCTTAGTTGCTGTGCTGCTGGGGTTTCATTGAGAAAGTTCTTACCTATACCTACTAACTCCAGAGTATTTCCTACTCTTTCTTGTATCAACTTAAGAGTTTGGGGTCTGATATTAAGATCCTTGATCCATTTTGAGTTAATCTTGGTATAGGGTGATATACATGGATCTAGTTTCAGTTTTTTGCAGACTGCTAACCAGTTTTCCCAGCAGTTTTTGTTGAAGAGCGCTGCTATTTCTCCATCGTATATTTTTAGCTCCTTTGTCAAAATAAGTTGTTATAGTTGTGTGGCTTCATATCTGGTCCTCTATTCTGTTCCACTGGTCTTCATGTCTGTTTTTGTGCCAGTACCATGCTGTTTTTATTGTTATTGCTTTGTAATATAGTTTGAAGTCAGGTATTGTGATACCTCCTGCATTGTTCTTTTGACTGAGTATTGCCTTGGCTATTCGTGGCCTCTTGTGTTTCCATATAAATTTAACAGTAGATTTTTCAATCTCTTTAATGAATGTCATTGGAATTTTGATGGGAATTGCATTAAACATGTAGATTACTTTGGGAGTATCGACATTTTTACTATGTTGATTCTACCAATCCATGAGCATGGGAGATCTCTCCACTTTCTATAGTCTTCCTCAATCTCTTTCTTCAGAAGTGTATAGTTTTCCTTGTAGAGGTCTTTCACATCTTTTGTTAGGTTTACACCTAGGTATTTGATTTTTTTTGAGGCTATTGTAAATGGAATTGTTTTCATACATTCTTTTTCGTTTGCTCATTGTTAGTGTATAGAAATGCTAATGATTTTTCTATGTTGATTTTATATCCTGCTACCTTGCTATAGCTATTGATGATGTCTAGAAGCTTCTGAGTAGAGTTTTTTGGGTCTTTAAGGTATAGGATCATGTCGTCTGCAAATAGGGATATTTTGACAGTTTCTTTACCTATTTGTATTCCTTTTATTCCTTCTTCTTGCCTAATTGCTCTGGCTAGGAATTCCAGTACTATGTTGAATAGGAGTGGAGATAGTGGGCATCCTTGTCTGGTTCCTGATTTTAGAGGGAATGGTTTTAATTTTTCTCCGTTAAGTATAATGCTGGCTGTAGGTTTGTCATATATAGCTTTTATAATGTTGAGGAACTTTCCTTCTATTCCTAGTTTTCTTAGAGCTTTTATCATGAAATGATGTTGGATCTTATCAAAGGCTTTTTCTGCATCTATTGAGATGATCAAGTGGTTTTTGTCTTTGCTTCTGTTAATGTGGTTTATTACGTTTATTGATTTTCGTATGTTGAACCACCCCTGCATCCCTGGGATGAAGCCTACCTGGTCGTGGTGAATAATCTTTTTGATGTGTTGCTGAATTCGTTTGCCATTATTTTGTTGAGGATTTTTGCATCAATGTTCATTAAGGAGATTGGCCTATAGTTCTCCTTTTTGGAGGTGTCTTTGCCTGGTTTTGGGATAAGTGTAATACTGGCTTCATAAAATGTGTTTGGCAGTTTTCCTTCCCTTTCTATTTCATGGAACAGTTTAAGGAGGGTTGGTATCAGTTCTTCTTTAAAGGTCTGATAGAATTCAGCAGAGAATCCATCAGGTCCTGGACTTTTCTTTTTGGGGAGACTCTTGATTGCTGCTTCAATTTCATTTTGTGTTATAGGTCTATTCAGGTGATTAATTTCCTCTTGGTTCAGTTTTGGATGATCATATGTATCTAGAAATCTGTCCATTTCTTTTAGATTTTCAAATTTATTTGAATATAGGTTCTCAAAGTAGTCTCTGATGATTTCCTGGACTTCCATGGTGTTTGTTGTTATCTCCCCTTTTGCATTCCTGATTCTACTAATTTGGGTTTTTTCTCTCCTCATTTTAGTCAGGTTTGCCAGGGGTCTATCGATCTTGTTTATTTTTTCAAAGAACCAACTTTTTGTTTCATTAATTCTTTGTATGGTTTTTTTGGTTTCTATTTCGTTGATTTCAGCTCTTATTTTTATTATTTCTCTCCTTCTATTTGTTTTGGGATTTGCTTGTTCTTGTTTTTCTAGGAGTTTGAGATGTATCATTAGGTCATTGATTTGGGATCTTTCAATCTTTTTAATATATGCACTCATGGCTATAAACTTTCCTCTCAAGACTGCCTTAGCTGTGTCCCATAGGTTCCGGTAGGTTGTGTTTTCATTTTCATTGACTTCTAGGAACTTTTTAATTTCCTCTTTTATTGCATCGATGATCCATTCTTCATTAAGTAATGAGTTATTTAGTTTCCAGCTGTTTGCATGTTTTTTGTCTTTACTTTTGTTGTTGAGTTCTACTTTTACTGCATTGTGGTCAGATAGTATGCATGGTAATTTCTATTTTCTTATATTTGCTGAGGCTTGCTTTGTGCCCTAGGATATGATCTATTTTGGAGAAGGTTCCATGGGCTGCTGAGAAGAATGTATATTGTGTAGAGGTTGGATGAAATGTTCTGTAGACATCTACTAGGTCCACTTGATCTATTGCATATTTTAGATCTTGGATTTCTTTATTGATTTTTGTTTGGATGACCTATCTATTGATGATAATGGAGTTTAAAGTCTCCCACAACCACTGTGTTGGCGTTTATATATGCTTTTAGGTCTTTCAGGGTATGTTTGATGAAATTGGGTGCGTTGACAGGTGCGTACAGATTGATGATTATTATTTCCTTTTGGTCTATTTCCCCTTTTATTAGTATGGAATGTCCTTCTTTATCTCGTTTGATCAATGTAGGTTTGAAGTCTACTTTGTCAGAGATAAGTATTGCTACTCCTGCTTGTTTTCGGGGGCCATTGGCTTGGTAAATCTTCTTCCAGCCTTTCATCCTAAGCATATGCTTATTTCTGTCGGTGAGATGAGTCTCCTGTAAGCAACAAATTGTTGGATCTTCTTTTTAATCCATTTTGTCAAACGGTGTCTTTTGATGGGTGAATTAAGTCCATTAACATTAAGTGTTAGTACTGATAGGTATGTGGTGATTCCTGCCATTTAGTTATCTTAGTTGTTTGAAGGTTTGATTGTGTGTACCTAACTTGATGTTACTCTCTACTGTCTTGCTTTTTCTTATCCTGTGGTTTGGTGCTGCCTGCCTTTTCATGGTTAAGTTGGGTGTCACTTTCTGTGTGCAGGATCCCTTGCAGAATCTTTTGTAATGGTGGCTTTGTGGTCACATATTGTTTTAGTTTCTGCTTATCATGGAAGACTTTTATTGCTCCATCTATTTTGAATGATAGCTTTGCTGGGTAGAGTATCCTGGGGTTGAAGTTATTTTCATTCAGTGCCCGGAAGATCTCACCCCACGCTCTTCTTGCTTTTAATGTTTCTGTTGAGAAGTCTGCTGTGATTTTGATGGGTTTACCTTTGTATGTTACTTGTTTTTTCTCTCTTGCAGCCTTCAATATTCTTTCCTTAGTTTCTGAACTTGTTGTTTTAATGATGATATGTCGTGGAGTAGTTCTATTTTGATCTGGTCTGTTTGGTGTCCTGGAGGCCTCTTGCATTTGTATGGGAATATCTTTCTCTAGATTTGGGAAATTTTCCGTTATTATTTTGTTGAATATATTACGCATTCCCTTCGCTTGCACCTCTTCTCCTTCTTCGATGCCCATGATTCTCAAGTTTGGTCTTTTGATGGAGTCAGTGAGTTCTTGCATTTTCTTTTCACAGGTCTTGAGTTGTTTAATTAATAGTTCTTCAGTTTTTCCTTTAATTACCATTTCATCTTCAAGTTCTGAGATTCTGTCTTCTGTTTGTTCTATTCTGCTGGATTGGCCTTCCGTTTTGTTTTGCAGTTCTGTTTCGTTCTTTTTTCTGAGGTTTTCCATATCCTGGCTGTTTTCTTCTTTATTGTTGTCTATTTTTGTCCTGAGTTCATTTATCCATTTATTCATTGTGTTCTCTCTTTCACTTTGGTGTTTATACAGTGCTTCTATGGTTTCCTTTATTTCTTCTTTTGCTTTTTCAAATTCTCTATTTTTATTGTCTTGGAATTTCTTGAGTGTCTCCTGTACATTTTGGTTGACCCTATCCAGTATCATCTCTATAAAATTCTCATTGAGTACTTGTAGTATGTCTTCTTTTAAATTATTCTTGTGGGCTTCATTGGGTCCTTTGGCATAGTTTATCTTCATTTTGTTGGAGTCTGGATCTGAGTTTCTGTTCTCTTCATTCCCCTCTGGTTCCTGTACTAATTTTTTGCTGTGGGGAAACTGGTTTCCTGTTTTTTCTGTCTTCCTGTCATTGTCCTTGGTGTTGTTACTGTCCCTGTACTGTGTGTAATTAAGTATTTTCTAGCTTGTAATAATAACAATGGTAATATTAGAATGGGAAGAGTGAGCTGAGATGGAAAGCAAGAAGTTAAAGAAAAGGGGAAAACAAATATACAGACAAGAGGGAGAAAGCAGAACAAGGTATCAGACAAGAGAGTTTCAAAGGTATAAACAGGGAGTGTTAGTGTACTAATCGACAGTAAGCTGAACAGACAATAGAGTGACAGAGAGAGGATTGAAAATCAAAGATAAAAAAAATAAAAAATAAGTATATGAAAGTAATATCTATTTATAAAAATGAATTAAAATAAAATGGAAAATAGAAAATTAAAAAAAAAAAAAAAAAAAAACCAAAAAACTTCCAAGTTTATATGCAATGCAATTTCAGTCTTAATAATTTGGATGTCCGTCTCAATCTCCAGTCCTGGAGTTGGTGCCTCAGATGTTGTTCTGTAGTTGTCTCATCAAAGGGGATGCATAAAGTAGAACAAAACTACACTCACACACACACACAGAAGAAAAAAAAAAAAAGCCCCACCAAGTGTCCCAGTTCAAATGCAATACAGTTTCAGTAAGTTTTTCGGCTTGCAGGTGTAATTCGGTTGTTCTCTCATCAAAGGTAGGGAGAAAAAGAAAAAAAAAGCGTCTGGAGGCAGTTCTGAGAGTGGTATCTGCAACTGTGGCTTGCCTGCCTGCTGCTCTCAGCCTGTAGCTGGCGGCGTTATTTATGCAGATCTCTGGGGTGAGCTAGCACTCACCTGGTCCCACAGGCTTTGTTTGCTCAGAGTTCTCCTGTGCGGGGGCCTCTGCTACAGGCTTTCCCTTTCCAAGCACTGGGAAAGGTCCACTGCCCCGCGTTGTCAGGCCTGCGTGTTTATTTACAGTTCACGTGGGAAGTGGGTCTTCCCTCCTCTCACAAGCGTCCCCGCTCCTGGTTGCTGGCGCGCCCCGCTCCCGCCAGAGCCTCTCCGGCCGCCCGGCTCGTTTATTTACAGTCCCGGGAAGGATTCCCTTCCCCAATCTTCAGCGCTCAGGGCGCCCCACCCTCTTTCCAGCGTGTCTTAACTGTTCTTATTGCTTAGTACTCAGTTTCTCTTCTTTTCCCGGGTGGAGGTCAGTCTGTCCAGGGGGCTATGCTGCTCTGGCCCAGGCTTGTCTGTGGGGAACCGCGGTACCGCGAAGCTCACCTGGTCCGCGTCTTCCCAAGCCGTATGGGCGCCAGCCACTGGCGGCCCCGGGGGCCCTCCTCGGTTCTCCGTTTAACGTGAAGTGGAGATTCTCTGCACCGGCTGGAGATGTGGAGGGGTCAAAGTTATGCCTTTTCTCGGTGATTATGCCTGCAAAGTGTGTCTCCAGCGTCTCTCCAAGATTTCACTATAGGAGGGTCGCTTTCTGCTTCCTACCTCTAGCCGCCATCTTGGAATTCCCCTTGTTTTTTATTTTCCAGAACAACTTCAAAAGCATATCCTCAGTCTCCAAAGATGGCAAAGCCACCATACTTAGGATCTCCTGTGAAATACCGCTTTCCCCCCATTCCCAGTCAAGAAACACCCAAGAAGAAAGCAGAAAAAGAGAAGAGCAATAAAGAAAGGGAGGGTGCCTCTGGTCAGCGGGATAACTGGGCCTGTGGTAAAGAGGAAATTCCAGAGAAGCACATGGCTGACAAGCAAGCACCTGACAAAAGACCGTGGCTGGAACAAACACGCCACGCGAGAAGCAAGCCACTGACAAGCATGCGGATAACAAACACATCACTGAGAAACAAGAGGCTGACAAACGCGCCACCGAGAAGCAAGAGGCTGACAAACGTGCCACCGAGAAGCAAGAGGCTGACAAACGCGCCACCGAGAAGCAAGAGGCTGACAAACGCGCCACCGAGAAGCAAGAGGCTGACAAATGCACCACCGAGAAGCAAGAGGCTGACAAGCATGCCACTGAAAAGCACTCCACCGAGAAGCACACTGGAGGAGGGAAAGCTGAGAGCAGTGCAGGTAGGACCTTTGTCAATGCTGCCACTGGGTCCTTTCAGCTTTCTCAAGATGTTCTCCCTCGGCGCTGATTACATGCCATTCTTGTCGCTGTGTTCAGGGGTAGAGAGGGTATTGTTTTCCTGTGGGAACATTCATCTCCTTGGTACTACTTTCTCAGGCATGCTTATTGGCTCCTGAATCTTTGCCCTCGGTCTCCTGGAGGAAGATAACTAGACCCTATTCATAGCTATGGAAGCTCACTGGAGTGCTGAGTAAGAAGGCTGCAGCTAGCCAGCATCTGCACTTCCTGCAAGAGCGGCTCTTCCTTTAGTCCTTAAAGCCTCTGTGCTGCAATGAGGTCACCCAGATGGTGGCTGCATTGGGACTTGCTTGTGGCTCTGTCTATTCTCCTAAGCTGCAAAATGCCATCCACTGGGGGATGAATGTGTCCATGGTCAATGCCAGCCCATCACAGCTTCTCCTGCTCAGTGGCTAATTGTGATACTGTCCTGGTCATGCTTCCCATTACACTGGATTAGATTTTTGTATCCAAGTGGCAGCTGTTCTGTGATTGGAATCATTATGTTCATTTCCCTTGATCTTTTCCCCTTACTGCTTCTTCTGTGATACAGCCTTGGGGAAGCCCACAGCAGGCACCACTGATGCAGGAGAAGCTGCAAAGATTCTGGCTGAAAAGAGACGCCAGGCTCGACTGCAGAAGGAACAAGAAGAGCAAGAACGACTGGAAAAGAAAGAACAGGAGAGGTACGAAGTCCTTAGAATTTCAGTATGTAAAGACTGGGTTGAAAGATTAGTTTGTCTTTCCTTTTATGGTTTTGGTGTTGACAACACCAGAGCAAAAGTATAGGAACCTAGAGTGCCTGGACTATGTGGAAGGTATTTAGGAGACTACATCTTCTACTAGATATAATTAATAGTGATGAAACTTTGCTCTTTTTACTGGACCTGGAAACTCGTAGCTCCTGTATCAAAATGTTGCGGGCAACTTCATTTTCTTCTCTTGGAAATGGAGACCAGGAAGGCTTTGTAGGGCTGTCAGGGAGTTTCAGTTTTGTTTATAGAATGAGAGTCTCTCCCTTGGAAGACAGAAAGTTCTGGATATAGAAATGTTGATCTGTTTCTTAAATTGTTTTCTCTCCTCAATTTGGGGTATGCCAAAGTGAGGGAAAGAGTTGGGCAGAGTCACCTGGGTGAAAGAGAAAGGGGGAACCAATCTAATAGCCCATGAGCAATGAGATAAGGGGAAGTCCTAACTTGGAGCAAGACAAAAGATGTCATCGTAGTGATCCCTAATCATTCAGAAAACACAGTGGAAATGTCCTGGTCCGTTCCCCATCCTGTTTTTAGTAGCTCACCAAATGTTTAAAAAACACTGTGGTGATAGTACCAGGGCACTTCATTATTGAGTCCTGCTTTTTCTGATCTTTGTATTCAGAGGGTATAATAGTTAAAGGACAAGTTCAATTTTATAACTAATTTGATAAAGGTAGGTCTTAGGATAAGCACAAAATATAATCCAGTGCTATTTAGACAATGAACATGATAGGAAGCAAGCAGTGCTGTAGCACATTAAGGCCAGCACCAAATTTAAAATAATAAAAAAATACTTTTGATCATTTAGTGCTAACCTTGGCAAATCTTTGTGGTCTCTGATTACAGGTTTGCTGCTCTGTTTCCTAAAAGGGGTAGGGACATAGGTTTGTGACCCCTTCTCTTTTTTCTCACTCCAGCCTTTTGGTCAATATCAAGAGGTTTTGTTGTTGAGTGGTGAGTTCAGACTGGTTTGCGTGGGCTGTATAGGCTATGTGAAGGGACAGTAACAGGAGGTGATGAATTGTGGAACCTCAAATGGCAGGCCTTGGTAATTGCAGGCTTTGTGCATGCTCTGAACAGGTGAGTGAAATGATTGTTGCTGTGTGCTTAAGAAGAGGAAGTTCTTTACCTTCCACCTACTATGCTTTCTCTCACAATTCTTTCACAGCCAGCTTCTGAAAGAATTGATTTTACTTCCTGTCTTTATTTCCTCCTCAAACTCTTCATACCTCATACACACCATTCCTGTTAGTTGTCAGACTCCTAATTGGTTCTTGATTCACTTTGACCATGTCAAGCTTACCCTTGCTTCCCTGGCTTCTGAATGTTGTTTGTTAAATTCTTTCAAATGGTTTCTTGGACTCCCAGCTCTAAGTCCTTGACCAGCTTCTCACCTCACAAGCTCTCCCTAAACAGTGTTGCTCACTCCTGCTCTGCCATTGTCCCTGCCATACTTCCAGTTTCCTCTGGCTTCAAAAGACTTAGGGCTGGTATTTCATACAACAATTTCATATTGAGGCTTTGGTATGCTAAACAAACTCTGCTCTCAGGTCCCTTCCTGCCTTCATTTTCCCTTTGCCTGATTTTATCATATGTTTCTGAATCTAATTGTAGCTTGTTTCATAAACCTTCCATTCTTTGTGGAATATCAGTGGCACTAGATAACACATGCATACTAAAGACTTCTGCATCTGTGCCTGTGGCCTGGGCTTCGTCCATGGCTGTGCTATCTAGTACTACAGCCTCTCGACACATGTGGCTTCTAAAATGTCAGTTAAGAAAAATTCACTTCCTTAGCCATATTTCAATGCTCAGTAGCTATATGTGATTAGTAGCTATCAGAATAGACAGCATAATTCTGTAGAATGTTTTCCTCATCTCAGAAAGTTCTGTTGAATAGCACTTGTTTAGAACCCAGAGACCATGTTTTCTAACTGCCTTATGTTTTCATTTGGGTGTATATTATATACATCTCAAATTCAGCATTTCCAAAGCAGTTGGTATCTTTCACCCAAACTTTCTGTTCCTTTTATGAGCTCTATACCCGCATCTACCCCAGCACCCAAGTTAGAAATCTAGCCACTCTCAACTCTTTACTTTCCATCCTCCTCCACATCTCATCAGTTATCACTTAAGCCCTCATTTGTTGTTAGGTTAGCATCTCTGTTCTCTCCCTGCCTCTGTTCCCTGACCTAGACTGTGTGGCATCCCAACTGAGCTTTGTGCTCCAGAAGTTGTCCACTGTCCATGCTGTGTCCACAGTGACCTTTCTTAAATACTGTGATTGTCTTGATCCTGTTTTTTAACAAGCTAGTAACTCCCCTGCCCACAGGATCCACGCAAGCCCACCAACAGGCCTTCAGGGCCAGGTCTGAACTAGCCAATCCCTGCCTCTACTTTGTCTCCCTCTAGGCTCCAGCCTGCAACACCCCCTGACATTCCATGCATCTAAAGCTTTACTTTTTCTGTACCTCCACATGGACTCATACTCCTTCTTGCTAGAAATTTTTTCCTTTCTCAAGGTATGGGTCACAGTCACTCCTCTGTGGTCTTTCTGGACCTGTGCTGTGGAGAGAACTGACCTTTCCACTGTTCACCCTCTGAGCTGAGCTGTCAGCTCACCAACACAGCCTCATTTGTTTACAGGCCACTCTTCCCTAGTTAGTATCTTAAAAGGTGGGGGTATAGTCTTGGTTCACTTGCTCCTGGTGCTCATTAATGTACAAGAATGGAAGAGAAAGAGGAAGAGGCCCAATGAAGAAACCATCACAGTAGTCGGATGGGTGATACAAGAGCTAAAGTTTTATGATGAAGGCAGACAAAGGAAAGGCAATCTGTAGACTTGCACAACTCAAAAGAAAGTGTCAGATTTGAAGCTACTAAAGTTTTACTTAGGAGAATAGTATACCCAATAACAGATAATGAAAGGACAGAAGAGTCAGTTTTAAAGGATAAAAAATAGCCATTTGATTTTAGATAAACTAAGGTGCCTACAGAATATGCCAGTGATTGGAAATGGAATTGAAGCCTGAGGCCTAGGTAAAAATGAGACCAATACACTTGACCCAAAATCAATTTTCCTGTCTCTTGCCAGAATGTGAAGCTTTGCACAGTCCCACGTGCGAGGTGAGAAAGGAAAGTACCAGACAGCCTGGGGCTGGAACACAGCGGACACCTCTTGGAATAAGATCATCCTCACATCTGTTTTTTGCTTATTAGAGTTAATAGTTAAAAACCACAGAAATGTGATTGCCAGTTGAGCAAATATAGAGAAAAATAAAGATATTGAGCCAAACTGTGGAAAGCCCAATTATTGTCACCAGCTGGTGAGGGAAACATTATAATCCATGTGGGAGACTCTTCTCAGTGGAAGGGCCGACCAGGAGTTCAGACAACTAGGCCCTAAGAAGAAGAGAAAAAGCTGGTTTAAGCCCAACTATCAGTGACATCAGAGCTCTCCCCAGAAGCACAAAGAATAGGTCTATCTCCTATGTTTGGGGATGGCCCAAGATGTACAGTGGTGTTCTTGGGAGTTGGGGCAAGCAACCGTAAGACATTGGCTCCACTGTGGGGAAGGCAGCAACAGAAACTAGTAAGCAGACGTCTTACTGAGGATTCCAAACCGATTCCATGAAATCACATTAAGAAGCTGAAATAGCTGATGGGGCCCACATCAAAGAATGTTTAAGTAAGGCAGCCCCCATGAGCAGGGTCATATAGCCAGGCTGAAGCTCAGTGTGCGAGTGAGAGCCCCAGGCCTGGAACTGCAGGCAGAGGTCCCCAGGGCCTCTCGGACTTGGATTATTACTGGCTGAACCTCCAGATGGCAGGTGGTTGTGGTGCAAGCTAGTGCAGGCAGGGGTCCTCTGATGTGGGGCAGCAGAGTGGAAGTGGCAGCCAAAGCAGGATGGAGCTAGTACAGCACAGCCTCATGTGGCACAGTCTACAGAGGGCTATGTTGGAGGAAGGTTTAGTGCTGTTGGCACCTATGAGACATGTTGAGGCTAAGGAATACTACTCTTGGGGTTTAGGAGATGAACAGACATTTTGGGAGGGAAATTATTGAGAAGGGTGGAGACATGAAGCATCTAGAAAGGTGAGAGAGTAGAGGCCCTAAATATAAGGTAGTCAGCTGTTGCATGGTCAGAAGTAAAAGACAAGTGGGAGAGGACCAAGGAACGTGGTCATGTAGGCATGTAGAAGACATGTAGAAAGGACTAGCAGGAGGAACATGGAGTTGTGGAAGGGTATGGAATTCATATCACAACTGGTGGCATTTATAATCCTTTTCATCTTAATCAGAGAAAGAAACAGGAAAATTTCTCAACAGTAACGCCATAAAGGAGCAAGTCTAAGAAACTCAGATCTTAGTCCCAGTCTTCTCTGTAAAGTGGTTGAAAACTTTTAAACATATAAGAATAGAAAACAGTGAGGCCCACATACTCACCTACTAGATCAAGCAATTCAAGACTGAGTACATGTCAGTGATGTGAGCAAGTTATGACAGGGTAGGACAGAATGAGGGGATGAGATGTTAGGATTGACAATGGAATATGAAGACCTCACCAATGGCCATTGACTGGGGCAAGGAATGCATCTATTAAATGCTGAATAGTGATGATGACTGTATGGTTTTCTGGTACTTGCTACTGAGTAGGGAAGGAGGGGTGAGCTTGGGGGGATGACAAGAAGAATGGAGAGGGTGGCAGAACTGCCCACAGATCTGATAAATTCTGAAAGGAGCTTAACAACAATGGCAAAGGTGGTCAGCTGGGGGTGGCCTATGGCAAGAGGCCGGTATGGGAAGGATGAAATAATGCTCTCTCTGGTTCCTTAAGCAGGGAGAGAAAGAATGTTCATACTTGGAGATGAATGTGAAGGATCCGGTTTACACAGGGGAAGCCAGGTTTTTGTTTGTTTGTGTGTTTGTTCGTTCAGTTTTGGTGCCAGTTTTTACCTACTTTTGGGGAAGCAAGTATGGTTAAGGGAGGGAATTTTGTCAGTAAAAGGATGGGGTTTCCATGGAGGCATCTGGAAAGGGTGAGCAGAGTCTGATGTTCTGTGGGGAAGAATTAATGTTTTAAATGATAATGAGGATTAGGGAAATTTAGGATCACAAGGATATTACTACAACTACATGTATGTGTGTGTGCATCTGGGTGCCTGGAAGTCCTAAAGGTAAAAACAGAAGAACAGTGGATTTTCAGATCCTGAAGAAGATAACAAGTCCTTTGTCAAGTATCTTGTGCATTAGTTCATACACTGTATCCTTTGTGTTTTAACTTCTCGGGGATTATCACAACTGACTTTTTAAAAAGGGGATAAGAATGAAGCACTGGTCTGATAAATCTTATCAATATGTCTAGTTTCTAGAATCTATTGTACATATTTAATCTTTCATTGAGGAATCTAAGCAGAAGTTTCTTTCTGAGTAGTCCCCATAATGTTCTTCTACAGAATATCTGTTAATAATTTCAATTGTTCCACAATACTTTTAGGCACTACAGCCTCTGCTGGTATAGAGTACATTATTGTGTACTGTTACAGTGTTGAGCTAATGCCTTTAAGCATTTCTTCATCTTTTAAAATATTTTTTTGGTGAGATATAAGCTAATTATTAGCCTGCCTGAAGCTGACCATAGGATGGAAGGCTGCTCTTTTTAAGTCCTTGTCTTTTTCTAACAATGTAACAGCACCTCAGTCAATGACAGATGCTTCCAAATGAAGGTAATTTCTAAAAAAAAAAACATAACAAATTTATAGATGCACTTGAAAGGACACTAGGACTGGAGAGAAGATTCATTTTAAATTTAAAAACTGACATTTGAGAATGTCCCAAGGCCAGACATTCCCATGCGTTATTTCATTTAATTCTCACAGTAATGCCATGGAGCAGTAATATAGCTATTCCCATTTTTAAGATGGACATCAGAAATGTTGAGTGACTTGCCAGGTATCACACAGTGAATAGCACAGAATATAGTTTGGGTCTTGGCCTTATATTATGCTGCCAGTGACTAACCAAGGGAAAGTGATCCACAAGTGAGCAGTAAGAACATTAGAAATGCAAAAGCAAGCTTTTAGACTTTATAGAATTTTCCCTCATGCTTAGAACTCTCTATCATCATAGCATGAACCAGTCATCTGTGGATGAAAATGTCTAAATGCCACTTAATTTTTATATAAGAAAGACTAAAAGTTAAAATAGATTATAAGGATTGCCAAAATGAATGGAAAATAGATGCTTTAATTTCTGTATCAAATGCTAAGTTCCTGTGTAGCATTTTCTTATATTGGCTGCTTCAGAAGTCACATACCAATTAGAACCCAAAGTGAATTTTTTTGAGCTCATGGTCACTGCTCTTCATTTGCTGATGGACACATTTGTGACCATTGCAGCATTTATTGTTTTTTTTTTCTTAGCTTCAGTTGGTTTTAAATATTTATTCTGCTTTTGTTTTAAGAATTGGCATTAAATAAGAATGATGGGACTTGGCTTCCTGTGTCATCATGATCATTTATAGAGTGATGAGGGAGCATCTGTGTCTTCACTGTAGTGGGTGTCACAAATCAATATGTCACTAGTCTGTAGTACAGAATTTAAAGTCAAGCCTGGTTAATAGTTTTTGGTAAGCATATGGACTAGAATGGTTTTCTAGGAAGGAGGGGTCATGAAGTGGATACAAAATCTGATACCTATGTTTGTTAGCATGATAAGCATTGCCCACTACTATCAGCACACAATTCTTTGGTGGTTTGCCTTTTGAGTATGTTCTCTTCTAACGGTCATTATGTTCTCAAAAGGCCGGAGAGAGAGGAATTGAAAAGAAAGGCAGAGGAAGAAAGGCTGTGCCTAGAAGGAGAAGTTTACAAGCAAAAAGAAGAAAAGAAGCAGCTGGAAGAAGAAGAGAAAAGAAAAGCAGGAGAGGAGTCCATGCGAAAGGCTAAGGAGGAGTTGTTGAAAGAAAAGCAAGAAAAAGAAAAGCAAGAAAAAGCCATGATTGAAAAGCAGGTATAGTCGGAATCCTCAAATAGACTTTCCTTGTTTTTCAAGGGCCTTACTTAATATTAGGTAAAAATTCTTTAAATTTCAGTGACTCATAATATTTACTCAAAGTTTTTTCTTAAACTGATTGTGCTAGTTATTAAATATAAGTTACTTCAGACAATCAAAATGAAAGTAGTAATGTTTTCTGTCTGTGAGTTTAGATTTCCCCAAAGGCATACCCTGAGATAAGAATTTGAATGCCAGTAGTTTATTTGGGAGGTGATCAGAAAGCCAGCATAAGTGTATTGATAAACAAGATATTGTGGGCAACTCAGTGTCATTGGGAGTCTCAGAGAGAGGGGATTTTGCTTTAGAATTGTCCTTCTGAGGGATGAAGATACTGGACAGTTTACCTACCAACACTTCCCCTCATTGTGGAAGGTTACACCTTTAAGAATTAACTACTGTCTAGGTGATAAATTCTAAGTAATTTTTATACATTGTCTAGAAATTTCCTGTATTTGTAAAATGTTTCTTAATAAATGTTCCTTATCTCAGAATAAAGAAAAATATTATAGAAAAAAAAAAGAATTAACTCCTGGAAATTTAGGACTATATGTACACTCTCTGGCCAGAGCCTGCTTGCAAACATAGAGAAATCTTGGCCATGTATCGTGTATGAGAACTGTTTGCAGGTGATTTGCATAGTGGACTGAGGGTATGTGAATGAGGCCTAGCCATGTATGTTGTGTCATAAAGCAGGTTGTGTAAATCCACATTGAATATCCACTTTGGGGCACATGATAGAGGAAAGGAACGTGTGCAAAGCCCAGTGAATTACAATAGTGTTTCCTTAGCTTAATAAATCTTATGCTTTGGTTTACTTGTTTCTTTCAGAGAGAAGCAGCAGAAGCAAAGGCTCAGGAGGCAGCTAAACAGATGCGTCTAGAAAGAGAACAGATCATGCTGCAGATTGAGCAGGAGCGACTAGAGAGAAAGAAGGTAAGGGCTGAGGGATCAGGAGGACTTAAGGTGAGGCAAGAACAGAAGTGGATCCAGTTTGGTTCTGCAATGAATGCTCTTAGACTTAACAATTAAGTCAAGTTCATTGATAGTACTGTTTAAATCTTCTGTATCTTTATTAGATGTTTTTCATCTTTTTTTATCAGTTACTGAAGCAGTGTTAAAAAGCTCCATCTGTGATTATTGATTTGTTCATTCTCCTTTCAGTTTTGTTTCTTCTTTTTTAAAAAAACCATACTGAGGATTGAGCTCAGGGCCTCTCACACTTGCTAGGCAGGTGGTCTACCACTTGAGCCACATCCCTAGCCTTCCTTCTAGTTGTCAGTTCTTGTTCTGTGTGTTTTGAAGCCCTATTGTTAGTTGAATATACATTTCAGATGGTTAAACTTTCCTGTTGGATTGACCCCTTTATCATGAAATGCCCTTCTTAATGCTAGTAACAGTCCATAAAGTCTGCTTTGGCAGCCTTTTTATGATTAGTGTCTGCATGGTAAATCTTCTTACGTTGAACTTGTATGTGTCCTTGTAAGAGTATCTCTTGTAAACAGCATATAAAGTAGTAAATCAGGACTTACTATTTTAATTCAGTTTAACAACCTTTGTCTTTCTTTATCTCTCTCTTTCTCTCTGGTGGTACTGGGGTTTTGAACTCAGGGCCTCACACTTGCTAGGCAGATACTCTACCACTTGAGCTATGCCTTCAGCTCTTTTTGCTTTCATTATTTTTTGAACAGGGTCTTGATTTTATGCTTGAGTGGCCTGGACAGCAATTCTCTCATTTTTACCTCCATGTGGCTAGGATAACAGGCATGCACTAGCATGCCCAGCTTTTATTGTTTGAGATGTGCTCTCACTAACTTTTTGCCTCTGCTGGTCTGAAACTATGATTCTCCTGATCTCTCATTTTAGCTTGGATTACAGATGTGAGCCACCAAGCCCAGCAAGTCTTTGTATTCTAATTGGAGTGTTTAGTCCTTTTAAACTTAATGTACCTATGTATCAAGTTGGGTTTAAGGTGGCTGATTTTAAAGGTCTATTCTTATGGTGTCCTAGGCCCAACATAGGTCTTATATTGCTGTAGGTCTACAAACCAGGAGTCCAGCCTGTGGCCTTCCCTCCTAAGCTATACCTCAACTTAACTTTCTATAGGGTGATCCTCTCCAATGGCAGGCAGTGATCTGTTGATATATAGAGAACTTATGGAAAGGAAGGAAAAAGATGGGATATAAATTGAATGGTATTTCTAGATATATACTAGTACACTTCATCTGACCTTGTTTATAGGGCCAGATGTGAACATATGGAAAACCTTTCTATACTTGTTATCCTCTACTGATATTTATCTTTTACAAGTTTTCTGAAGAACCATGAATTTGCATTATAGACCCAACTACTTTGTTATGTTTTTCTATTACTTTATTTTTATTTTGGTTTGCAGAGAATAGATGAAATCATGAAGAGAACAAGGAAGAGTGATGTGTCTCTAGAAGTCAAGGTAATAATCCAGATGACCATTATGTGCTGAATAGAAAAGAGCAGCAGAATACATTCAGTGAAGTTGTAGATCTCAGAGAGAGAAATAGCCAGAAAAAAAATAGATTCATCCTGTTCCTGTAGATGGCTTAGCAGAGCTCTGACTATTCCCTGGTGCTCTTATTTATTTGTTTGTTTGTATGTTTTTATTTATTGATTTTATATTACTGGGATTTGAACTCAGGGCCTCACACTTGATAGGCAGGCACTCTACTGCTTGAGACACTCCACCAACCCTCCCTGGTACCAACCCTCCCTGGTGCTTTTAAAAAGCACTTGTTTTTCTATATAATATCACCCTTACCTCTTTTCATATACCTTCTATTTGTTTTCAGAAAGAAGACCCTAAAGTGGAGATTCAGCCTATCATATATGTGGAAAATAAAACAAAACCAGTTGGCCCCAACAAAATAGGTGAGTGTGAGGTCTAGTGCTTGAGTTCTTTCTTTCAGCAGTGAGAACTAGTAAAGCTTCCCACAGGGGAAAGCACACCTGGGTCCCAACAATGTGGCTGTCAGCAGTTTCACTTCCTGGGGCATCTTTGCATCACAGAGCCTGTCAGCTCCATTTGGTAAACCACTGACTTCTTTGGTTACCCTAATAATCCATGTTCTCTGCTGGCCCAGGATGCTTTCAAGTGTTATTCAGACTTCACTCTGTTCTTCTACCAAGGCCCTATAGACACTGATAATGTGATTTGTCCTTTCTTCTCTGTATGAAGGTGATTAGATGGGGTTATTGTTGGTTCTATTCACAAAAGATAGTGCATTACTGGTGAACAGAGGATTAAGTTAACTCCCTTGCTTTGTGTTTCCCATTATTTCATTGTTTTGGATATTTTTTTATTTACTTGAGGACTTTGTGTTCTTGATTAGAAATCAATGGATTGAATACCTGCCAAGAAGTGAATGGTGTTGAACATGCTGCCCCAGAAACTTTTCCCCGAGACATTTTCTCTAATGGGCTTAAACCGGTTGGGGGACTTGTTCATCTGGATGCCCTTGATGGGAAATCAAACAGTCTGGATGATTCAACTGAAGAAGTTCAGTCTATGGATGTGAGGTATGTTAAATTTTTTGGCATTTAATCTTTGTCTCTTTTTCAAACACTGCCAGTATTTTAGTTTGTTTCCTCATCAATCAAATTACCTAAAACAGGTTTGATTGACATAGAGAAGCTGTCTGTGGTGTAACACTAGAGTTTTGGGTTGGGCATCTTAGAAGCAGAGCCTAGGACAGGGTTTCTTGCATGGGATTTATTGGGGGAGGATTGTCAGAGAAGTTTTTCTGAAAGAAGGGGAGAGAGGGAACGCACCAAGCAAGGATGTATTCTCAGACAATCCCACAAGAACTATCTGGAGGATGAATTTTCACCATAGAGTTGTCTTATTGAAATAAAGGCAGGCGGCTTTTATACCACTATATTCATTAGTCATTCCCTGTGGAATCACCCCTCCCTCCCAGAATAGGGGATGCAGGACTAATTGTGGCTGTAGAGGCTCCTATCAACTTAACAAATTTGTCCTGGAGAAAGGGTAACAACTGTGAGTCTTTAGCAGCCAGCTCCCTGAGGTTGGCAGATGGGTGTACTTGCTGGTAAAGGGGATCTGGCCCGGTCACTAACAGGGTCCCCTGTCTCTAGAGTTTCATATTTATAAGGACTGGAAGTGTGGCTTAAGCAGTAGAGCTCCTGTTTTGCAAGTGTGAAGAAGCCCTGAGTTCAGATTGCAGTTGTTCCCCTCCACACCCACACACAAAGACAAAAACTTGGGTGCAGAGCCTCATATTTAAGTAAGTTTGTCATTGGAGACTTGATAAAGGAACTAATTTGCTTCCAGATACTAAAAACCTAAGGAATTAATTAATTAGCTAATTAATTAATATGCTTGGCAAATTAATCCTAGACAAAACAACTAATTGGCATGGGATTGAGGCAGAGGCATTGAAGAGAGCACATAGTCTTGAATAGGGCAGTTGGAGTAGGGAGTGGCTCTCTGAGTCAGGATAGTATGACAGTATTTTATAATACTCTACCATAGCGCCAGCCTGCCAGAGCTTACCATTCTCTCCTTATCTATGAGTTTGCTACTTTCTCTGGGGATGCAGGTTGACGTGTGGGGTTCCTATTACACACTGATTATAAATATCCCACTCACCCACACTGCTTGAGCCAGATATGTGAAAACCCAACATCCTACAACAGCCCCATCTCCAATAGAGCAAGTCTGGTATACATTGAGAGCAGGGCCACTCAGTCCTTGCCTGGGTCTCCCTTAACCCCAACAACCACCATCATGATAGCCTTCCCTAACTGGTACCGCCCTGCCACCAGCAGAAAACAACTGAAGCAGTCTTAAGGGTTAACACAATATATCCCCACCCCTATGTTAAGCCAGCTGTGCTTATTTTATGTCTTTGGGTGGGGGATGGGAGAGAATAAGACATAGCACCATTGGCCATGGTTCAAGAAAGTGAAGGGGTTTTTTTTTTTTGCACACTGAGTTCTCCCTTAGAGGAGTGATTCATGATGCACCCAAGCTTGTAGTGACATTCTCTTCCCATGCAGATGGAGCAGGGTGTTTCTGCATTTTGCCTGGGCTTCACACACAACAAGAGGTGTTAGGTCAGCAGCTGCCCCTTAACTGGGCTCAAGTGTGAGGGAGGTGGAACATCTGAGCTTCTGCAGTTCAACTGGTTTTTCTAGATTCTTCTGGATTTCCTCAAGGAAGAAAAGAAGAGCCTGGAAATAGCTTTACTCTGGTTATAAGAGACTCCTGGGGACAGTCCCTCAGTTCCAGCCTACCCTTCTTCTGTGCCTGGGTTTACACATTTTTGCTAGGCCCATAGCAGACAACAGCAGTGAAATTCCTTCCACCTCTAAGGAAAGGAGAGAAAAGGAGAAAACAAGGCTTGGTTGGGCACAGCTGGATAAGTCAGGGTGAATTGGAAACCTGGCTTTACAGAGGAGGCAGTGGGTGAGATTTGCTTTGTAGGTACCTAGGTTGGCAGTGGGGTCCTTGTTAATGATACCCTCATCCCCCAGCCTTAACTGAGCATGCACTTAGGGTGGCTCCAAATGAGCTCTTGGCAACATGGGCACATTTGTATACTCACAGGAACCCTAGGAGGAAGAAATCACTGCTCTTCCAATTTTACAGGAGAGGAAACTGAGGCCGGGGCAGGAAAAACAGCTTACCCAGGGCAGACTGCTATAAAGGCAGCCCCAACAGCCCCAGAGTTAATTAGTGCCCTTGCTGACCCGCTTTGAACTTTTAGCATTTGCTTTCTGGTTTTAATGTCCCATCCTGAAAGCTCTGGGAGGGACTTGCTTCTCTGTAGTAAAATGCTGATGCCTGCGGGTGTTTCTTTTGGGCAGTGTGAACTGGGCCTTCACAGCCCTGCCCAGTCTCCTTCCTTTGTTCTCACTACAGTGGCCTTGTGCCCACACCTTCCCTGATTTGAATTCACTTGTATTTTGTACAGTGCGTTACACACAAACTCTGTCTCTAAACCCATCTTCTCTAGAAGAGTAGTAAAAAAAATATTACAAATAGAATGAAGTACTTTAACATATTGTGCTTAGTTCTCATGTTCTTTCTCCTCTTCCTCGTTGTCTTCCTTGTCTTTTCTAGTCCTGTTTCCAAAGAAGAGCTTATCTCCATCCCAGAATTTTCACCAGTGAGTGAAATGATTCCTGGGGTATCTCTGGACCAAAATGGAACTGGTAATGCCCGAGCACTTCAAGATATCTTAGATTTCACTGGTCCCCCCACGTTCCCCAAGAGATCCAGTGAAAATCTCAGCCTAGATGACTGTAACCAAAACCTTATTGAAGGATTTAACAGTCCTGGGCAAGAAACTACTCTGAATACCTTCTGTTGACAAAAAGAACCTCCCTTTAACAAAAGGTACGGTTTTTTGATGATACTCTAAATCCATTAACTCCTTAACTGGGATGTGTAAAGATAGACTATCACTTAGACTCCTGGGTGGCCAATTTTATTTGAAAAAAAATGTAGACATAAATATATTATGGTATATACTGCAGCAGATCCAAGAATTCAGATGGATTTAAAGTAATTCCTTCATATGCAAGCCCCCAGTGCCATGCCCTCCTATGTTACCTCTGCTGTTTTGAGGTTGTGGGTGGAATGCTGACCAAGCATTGACTAAAGGTTTGACAAGTCCATCTCAAGTAGCACCATTTTTCAGAATGCTGCAAGATGGTGCTAGTAAAATGAACTTACCTTTGTTTTTCTCAGTGACATCCCACACACATTCTGTTTAGAATCATTCATATACATTGATGAGTGTTGGGCCACATGATTTTGCTGTTCTGTTGACCCATTCTGGATCATGTTTGAAAAAGTGAGGGAGATTTATGTCCTGAAGGAGGTCTTTTCCCTACTATTGACCCTTTCTTTTTACCAAAGTGCTTCTGCCTTCCTCTCCCCTTCCTTCCCTCCCTCTCCATTGGCCTTGCATACTAACCAAGGCTGAACTATACCTCCAGCCCTTGTCATTTGAGTGAGAATACCTATGAGTTATACCTATGGGTACTCTGCAGTCATGTTTGCTTACATACACATATTTCACATTTTGATTTACTTCAATTTTGGACTTGTTATTGAATAATGAAAACATAATTACAATCTGTCAACAAATCCTTTTGATAGGTTAATAATTCCTGTTGCTCCTATAATTTTAGACTCTTTAGAACATTTTTATGTTCTCAGCATTTTCTGTCACTTTACTTTTTATGATGCTGCACTCCTCTGACAGAAATTTGATGCCTAAAATGACTTAGTCTAAACTTTTTATTTCTCAAATGAGGTAATGGGATGGAGAGACCACATGGTTGAGCTTGCTGTGTTTTGTAAACTTACTTCCACCTGACCTCCAGCTCTTGCATGTAGAAGAATTTTAGAATCACTTTCTCTCAGATCTTGGGAAAGCACCTGCAGTCCTTTGACATGTGGGAAGAAATGCATAACAGGTTGCTTTTACAGTAAACTATATCCCTGGTTTGGAAAAGTAGCTGCTTTCTTGGACACTTAAAACACTAATTCACCTGAGCATTCTGTCCCTGATAGTTGCCTGGCTTAGCATTTATTAAGAGGTTACTTTTGTTGTTAGAATACCTTAACTTAATTAGCTTCCCTTTAGTTACTTACCTCATTGTCCAGTAAGGACCAGAAAAATATACAAAACTTAGAAGAATATTTATGAGCCCTCAGATTTATTGCCTACATCTTTAACAAAAAGAAGTGCAAAGCCCCTGCCCCCCAAAGTGTATATATACACACACACTAGTTCTCAAATCCTTCTCAACTAAAGGTGATAACCACCCCCACTAAGTGCATTTGATTTGGAAATGTGTTGGTGGACTTTGTTGTCACCAAGGCTGAGGATCTTCAGAAGGCAAAACTTTGAGATATTAAACATGTGTAGGTTTGGATACAAGGGCAATCTGGCTGGCTAGGAGGGCATCCCCTTCCTCTCTCACTGTTCTAGTATATGTACCTTCTGAAGCTATGTGCTCACTCTTCCCAGATAAAGAGTACCATTCTTCAGTCAAGGGTAGAAAAAAAATCTGCAGGTTTCAGAAAAGTACCACACAAGGAAAATTTGACCCACCTAGTGGAATAGTCCTGTACAAAATCTGCAATACTTCTGTTGAGAAATGCTGTATGTGGCAATAAAAATGTAATTACCAAGCACAAAATACTTGGTTTCTGTATAGGTCTCAACAGATTTTGTTTTTAAATTGACACAGGTGGTGTTTGGAGTACCCATGAAGTTGCTGGGAGTCCAATCTGAGCTGCTGGCCACCTGAAGAAGCTTCTGTAGCCCTTAACTGCTGGATTCCAAATTATTAGATTGGAATGCAACTATTCCTAGGTAGTATGTCAAAGTCTGGCTTCTTTTGATAGAAACCTTGAGACTTTGGCCTTGTTTGGCTTTAGCAAAGTTTCATTTTAAAGTTCTACATATGAGCTTCAGCTGCTGCTAAAGCACTTCCTATCCTCTATTATCATAGTGATTCTCTCAGTAACCTGAGTAATGTTGGCTTGGAAATTCACTTTATGACCACTCTCATTCCCTGAGTTGGAACACATTTGGATGTATGTCTCTTCCTGTAAAATATTTTAGATGTTTACTCAAACTCTAGCTGAACATGTCCTCAACTTGGGCTGCATATCTCCCTCTTTGTTTAGATGCAGAAGAAATTCAGCAATTTTCTCTCCCTCTAAGGTTTCTCTGGAAAGTAATATCAAGAAGCCTTTTTGTTATTAAGCTTTGCTGTCTGCAAATCCATTACCCCACATTACTCTTTGGGGTTAAAGTAGTAAGTTTGGTTGAATAATGAAGAATTAAACAATGAGTAATGATTTCTGTTTTGTTAGGCATATTCTTGTGTATATGGACAATTTAAATCTAAAGCAAGGACCCTTTTTTGTCACACCTTAAGTTTCCAAACTATAGTCACTCCATATCATCAAGTGACTTTCCAACTGCATGAATCATGTATCTCACATGCAGGTGGTTGTTTTCAAGTTATTACTATTGTTTTTCTATTCCATTTTGGGAGTTTCCTTCATTTACTCCTATGTTTGCCCAACCATGCACAAATAAAAGTCATAGTGCTGTGAAACAAAGGGGCCCCATATTGGTCCCGGTATGTCTCTTTAATAGACTTTAACATAAAAAAATCTGAATGGGGACAATGACACTAGAATGTATATTTCACACATTTTATGCCATATCATACTGTTTTTCTTAATTTCATTTCTTGTGGTAAAATGTGACTTTCAAATTAAAATGACTTTTTCTTCTTTGACACTTTTGTTTGACTTACAACTTAAAGGGTTTGGAAAGATCCATAATTATGAGAGAGATTTACAATCAGGAGCTATAAAGAAGTCTCAATAATATTCTTGTTCATGTGCTTTTATAGCCAGCTACAACTTAAGAATTTATTAGTTAAGGAAACTGTGTATGTTTGTGTATGTGTATATACTAAATAAAATACATGCGACTAATAATGCAGTGCCATTGATCTTGATGAATACCAGGAGAAAATCCCTTTTATGACAAGCACACAGAAAATGATAGCATGATCTGACTTTCAAAAAATGCCTGGCCATCTTTCTTATAGCTTTATTTTGCTAGATGAGTGTTTCATTGTGGTCTGTTACACCTCATAACACCATTGTGACTGTGGTGATGCCTCATTTGCATGATGTATACATTCTGTTTAATGTGAAATACATTTTCATTGAAGAGTCTGATGGCTTGCTAGTATTTTGTTTGTTTCTGTAGCTCAATGAAAAAATGTGCTAAAACCAAAGTAGCTTTTTTAAGCCTGTGAAACCATGTGGGGGAAAACCTCCAGTTCCTGCATGGGTGTCCTTTCCCTATGAGACTCACTAAAAATTCCTCTTTTGTCAGTGGACCAGCTGTGGATATAGGCTTAAGTGATGGCCCATCCCTTGCACATGATGATGCTCTTCTGAACACAGTTAAGTTGCTAGGCTTTCATACAAACACTGATGCCAGTGACCACAGATACACTAAGACATAGTTAGCCTTGATGTAATCTATGAGACTATTTCACATAGCAATTTGGCATTTAAACAAAATTATAGTAGGAATGTTGGCCCTTATTTTCAAGGAAGGTGAAACCCAGACCAGTTTGTTTATATCTAACTTCTGGGCTGCCATCTCTGAAGCTGAGTCAGCACAGCCCTCCCCAGCTCTGCCAACAGCCTCTGACAGAGCATTAGAAGTAGCTTATGTCATATGAGTTCTAACCATGGGGTCTACAGTAGTGGTTAGTCATTCCTAAGAATAATTGCTAGTTTGGGAACATTCTAAATCTTTTATACAGGTTTCCTATTAGTCAAGTGCTTTTATAAACTAAATTTAGAAAGCAAACAAAATCTAAAGAACAAATTGCTACATTGGGGCACAGCACAGGCTGACTTACATCCTCACTCCTCAGCATTGTTCAAGAAGCACAATTATGAAAGAAAGTGAGAACTCTTCAAAACATTAGAAACCAGAAGCCTTTACAGATATTCTTCCCCCCGCCCAGGAAATCCAAAAGAAACAACTGAAAAACTGGTGGAATAATTTCACGGTAGAGAGGCAACTACTAAAGAAAAAACAATGGTTTTCTTATACATTATCAATAAACAGGAAGTAGACCCCTAAAAACTCCATAAATTTCCTAGAAATAACAAACTATATCTAAAAATTGACTGAAGGTTGTTAGAGCAGACAGAAATAGAAAGACCTAAATATATGAAAGTGGCTAATAGTACACTCATATTTGTCCCAAACAGTGAAATTTCATTTGGGCAACTTGAAAATAGAATTGTACAGTTTTTTTTGTGTGTGTGGTACTGGAGTTTGAACTCAGGGCCTACACCTTGAGCCACTCCACCAGCCCTTTTTTGTGGTAGGTTTTTTCGAGATAAGGTCTTGTGAACTGCTTGCCCAGGCTGGCTTGGAACTTTGATCCTCCTGATCTCTGCCTCCTGAGTAGCTAGGATTACAGGTGTGAGCCACCAGCACCCGGCAGAATTGTACAGTTTGTATAAGAAAATAAACACAAAGCTAAGAAGCATGAGTTTTTAAGAAGGGAATATTTCCCCAGCAAATAATAAAATGTGTAAGACTCCTAGAATTAAAAAAGTGTAGACTGAAAGAGCAATAGAGTTTAGAATAGCAATAGAGATCAGAAATACCCAAGATACATAAGAATTTAATGTCTGATGGGGATGGAGGTTTGCTATTTGTACTTGTAGAAAAGCTTAGTGTCTCCTGAGGGCAACTGAGTTTACAATCTATGATAGGGGTGTTGAGTGAAGAATTAA